ATATTATAATATATACTTATAATATATATATAATATCTTATAAATATACTGTAAATATTATGAATAAATTTGTTTTAGGTCTTAGATAAATTTTTTCCGGTTTTTATGTTACATTTAAATATGTTAATGCAAATATGTTTATCAAAAGAAGCGCTTTTTAATTATAAGTGCAAAATGTTTTTCATCTCAAAAACGTTTTCGCATAATTTTATTTTGCGCTTTCACTATTCTGCATGCAAGACTGCGCGAATGTATTCATTTTAATAAATTCTCGTTTTATAAGTTCATTTTAATAAGCACTCGTTTTTTAAATAAATTTATACAAGTATCAGTACGTATCATACGTCATATACCGTAGAAAAATGTAATAGCAAAGAGAATTCGTTTAAACATACGGCATAGGACTGCATTTAATTCTCGCGATTCTTTGATCCGGATATTTTTTCTCTTCTTTTCTTTTTCCTTTTGTTTTGCGAGAAACGAATGAGCGAGCGTAAATTCCTGGATTTAAAACGCACCTGTATTCGCACCTGTATTCGCGATTGCGAGCCGGTATTATGCCGCATTAATGTTTTGCGACGTGTGAAATCCAATCCACGTCTTCTTGCGCGTATTTCATAATCACATCACTACGCTGTAACGTCTTCCAAGCTTTATAATAGCAATTCTCAAGGAAACAAGACCAAGGAAACAAGCTTCAGCTCGTGTTGTTCTTGTCAAGCGAGTATTTCCCAGCATCACTATTATATTAGCGTAAAAGGCATCTTTAACGAAGAAAAAAGTACTTATATTACATTTCTTTATTTGTCATCAAGTTACATCTCACTTTTTCATCATCAACAGAAAAGATATTAATTAATTTGTCTTGAAACTTAATTTGCATAAAAGCTTTTCATGTTCCATGTCTCTAGGAAGTAAGTACACCGAGAGAAAAAATAGTTGTAATTTAATTATAACTTATAGTTAATTATAAATTATAAATTATGAACTTTTTGCAAATATTACATATTTTTTAAATAGATATAAATATAATTATTATTACTATAATTTATAATTTACATTATAAAGTAATAATTGTCAAAATGAAATTTTTAATCTAATTTTTTTACTATGCAATTATATCAAACACTTTTCTTTCAG